TGTGCAGAGAAAGCATTTAAAAGAAAAAGACATGAGGAGTATTATGAAAATGATTATGAAAAGATAAAGAGAGAAAAGAGATGCACACATCTATAACCTTTGAATGTTCCCTCTTGCTTCCAGTCTTTATGCTGAGCTAAGCTAATCATCTACTGGCTGTGGCATATCATATCTAACTGTCTACAAGAAAGAGAATAAATATAAATATTCCTAAACATTGCGTAGTCTGTTATAATGTAGTCCAAAATTAGGACTGTTTATAAAGTTGACAGCTAAGCAACAAGCCATCTTTCAGAAAGCTTTTTTATTGGAAAGGAAATTTAAATACATTTAAATTAAAAGGAGATTCAATTCAGTCCGTCACACTAATGATTTTATGCACTCAACTCAACCTGGGAATTCAGAGGTAAAGATCTGTTCATTCATTTCTGTAAACACCTCTAATGGCCCAGTTCCCCTGATCAAAATCCCATTCACACCCACAAACATCTGGACTTTGTAATGAGAAAAGATACAATCAGCATTTACTCTCAGGTCAAACGAAGACAGGTTTTTATACACTTTAAACACACTCATTTCTTCTTATTTATTTTAGCAGTCTAGACACTGAAACCACATTTTTTCCACTGTGACGTTATGATGCGCAAGCAATAAATGTTTGTGTACTTATTGTTTTTTACATCTTGGGAGCAACCTGCAACAGCGGTATTTTATTTTATATTTTATTTATTATCGTTCAAAATGCAACACTGGCAAAAAGACTTTTTTTTGATGCACGTGTTCATGACATCAGACATGACTTTGTAGGAAAAAAACAGAAAGGCAAAGTATATCCCATCTTCATACAATTAGTTTTCAGTGGGAAAGAGAGCAAAACTGTCTTTCTGTCAGTTTGCGAAAATTGGTGTTACAGTGAGTCTTTCTGTTTTTCATTCATCTCTAAGCCAACTGGTAACGAGGCCCTGGTCTTTCTACAGCTCATACAGTAGTACACACACAGACACACACACACACAAAATTATACACCAACTCAAACGCATGACCTCGCTGAATTCAGCCTGCTTTCGCTCACGTTTCAAGGCTGCAATTCGATTTTCTTTCCTCTCACACAAAACCTGTATGTGCACAAACATACACACAAATGCACACAAACACCAACAGAAACCTCCTCACACTGAACACACACACAGTTCCGGCAGACTTCTGCTCTTACGTCCAGGGCACCTCTAAGATAGGCGCAACATTAAAATCAGTCCCCGGGAAAATTGGATCCTGTCCACTGTTTAAATTCCACAGACTTTGAGGCATGCAGTTGCTTAGCAACAGCAGAGCTGTATCTCCTTCTCTGATATCCATTTTGGTTTATTTTCTGCATATTCAAGCTTTGACTCAGACCTAAGTTAATCTGAAATAACTCCAGTTTATGTAAATACACTTCAGAAGCATTTTTAAAAGATGTAACAAACAAACGACTTTGAATTAAAGAATTTATAGTTATGATTAGTCATGGTTTTAGTTATATTACAAATGGAGAAAATGGACATTATACAGTATTAAGTGTAGATGGAAAGGAAGGTTGTTTACAACCCAACTTACAATATTGAGTTATTAAAATATAGCTCAAAACATTTTACTTTTCAGCACAATATCAAGTGCAAACTATTCTAGTCACTGTTGATGTAACATGGAGTCACTCCTCAGTGTCAAAGTCACTGATGCCAAATAATATTTCACACACGCCCATTTTCATTGTTTGGGACATCTCTGCTTATTACACAAGTCATGATTATTATTAATTATATATTGTTGGTTTTGTGTCATTAACAACAAACAGTGGAGTAATGTGATGAAAATGCGATTCTCTCTCACTGCATGTTTTGATTGTGCATGTCTGAATGGAGTGTGTGTGGGGGGGTGGCTCCTACTCAAATATCTATCATAACTTCTGCATCACAGTCCCTGAGGGACTAGTATATGTAGGTGGTGTTGGTGGTGGCAGTGGGACTGAGAACGTTATGACTGTGTCTGTCTCGTTATTTTCTGTTGTGATTTTTATTTCTGTTAGAGGTCCTTGCAAGTCCAACAGTTTTTTACTTCATCACCATGACAGGAATCAAAGAAGCTCCATCTGATGTGTCGCCAAATATTTGATAAATCTTCACATTGCCCAGACTGACCCGAGACCCGTGGACAAATTCCTCAGCAAACAAAGGGCATTTCATTACATGATCAGGATTTTCTGTGTGTACACTGTGTGTACACTGTGTGTGCATGTGTGTCTGTGGTCCAGTAAATTCAGCTTACTCTCATTATGACTGCTCATTATCATTAGGTTTTTTTTTGACAATTATATGATGATATTATTAATGAGACTCACTAGTTTCAATTATTTTTCAAGTGAGAAATCAGGTTTATATTCTGACACCATTCTGCTTGTTTACGTCTTACTAGGAGTCAGAAGAGCGGATCAATATCAATTTCATCTGTGCATTCAATGACAGATCTGAGGCGTGTTTAGCCAAGCTAAGCTAAAAGAGTGGAAGCAGTCAAATGTGGGTCTAACAACTGCAAAGCTCAGTTTTTATCTCTATGGCTTTTCTACTCAACACAAGGGATTTACATCCAATGCAGGGACTTATTGTCACTCCGATATGAACAATATCCCAACGTGAAGCTTTACAATAGGATGTTTCTATAAAACAAACAAGATCGAGGCAATCCAAGGCTTGACTCCTCTCTTTGTCCTTCCTCTGGGATACAAATACTTTAGTAACTCATTTATGGCAAAACACTAATTGATTGTGTTACAGTTTTGCTTTTTACAGAAGACATACTGTATGTACATACTGTATGTATTCATCTCATTTGGCTTTCCCATAAAAAAGGTCTACTTTGCTGTAATGCAAGAGTTTACAGTAAGTGACAGTTGCAGAAAGCTGAAATGAAAAATATTTTCTCAGGCTCTTTGCCGACAGAGACCTACACATCATCACAAGCATAAAGGTTGTCAGCACACTTCTCTCTCCATCTCTGACTGTTCTCAATAACCCTTGTTGCCCAGATGAATGATGGCAGGTACTGGATGAAAGCCAGCATCGGCTTCACTTCGACTAGAAGTCTCTCTCCACTGTTTCATTCAGTACCATTCAATATCAGGCATCGGTGCACAAACCAAAGAGTGATGTGTAATAAAGAGAGAATATGGTTTAAGATGAAAGAGTGCCTGGTTGCTTGCATATGATTAGCTCCATGAAGCGTGACCCCAGCAATCTAGAGTGAGGTGTTTGTCAATGTGATGTTCAAAAGCAGGAATAAAAACCTTTTTAGCAACTTCAAAGTTTCAGCCACGCTTAATGTTGATCAATTATCAAAATAACGATTCTCACATTTTAATCTACTGCAGACAATTGATCTTGTTACACCATCAATGCAAAACAAAGCTAAACCCTGATATAGATACAACGTGAAGCTATGGTACAGTCAGTAAGTGATTTGAATAAGGGACAAGGCCATTCCCTTAAAAACCAAAATGATCAAAAAAGCATCCCCCTTAAATAACCTGTCAATTCTGCTATCCCCTTTCAGCCTTCCCCTGAGAGAGAGACTGTTCAGCTGCACCAGGTGAAATCCTTCCCAATGTCGGTGGCCGTTATAACATCCATAAAAACATCTCCGTTGTCAGCAGAAAGAAAAAGGATTTAGCATTAACTCGGTAAATACCACTTCAAGCATATATTTGTAATACGTATGTGGGTGTATGTAATATACACACCCAGCTTGGTGAAAATCTATAAATCCATGCCTTATCGAATTATTTTTGTTATTTGCACACAGACAGTGGCGAAAACAGCAGGGTAGTGAAGCACGAATAAAACTGTTTAGAATCAACAAATGTTTCTCCCAGTTTTAAAATCACTCAACACACAACAGAAGCCTTATTACAACTGCAAACTATAAAAACTAACTTAAATGAATATTTAAAGACATTTTCTGTCTATGTTCGCTGTTCATTAATTGGGCATCGGGACCATCACCCCTGGTAAAAATGAACAAATCGCCTACTGAGTACAGTTATACTGAAGAACCTCCCTTCTGTAAAGGAGCTATAGTTATTCTCCTCTGATTTCATATACAAAACTTTAAAGGATCTATTTATTCAGATGATTTAGTAACCTTATATCTACTCTTATGTATCATATTTTAACAAACAGTCTTTCCTGGTGGTCTATTTTTTCTCATTATCTTTTCTTTCTGCCACTGTGTCTCTATCAGCCTAAGTATGTTTGTTTGGAGAGTACAGCTCGCCCAGTACAACGTGGAAGTACGTCAGCATTGTTGGCTCATGTTTAGAAAGGGCAACAGGAAGAGACCACTCAGGGAGAAAAGAGACAGGAGGGGAGGTGAAGGAGAGAAGGGTGAAGTTGGAGTGAAGGAAAAGATCGAAGGAGGGAGGAGAGGAGGGAGAGGGGATCTCCAGTGGAGTATGGCGATGAATGTTCCTTGAAACGCCTCTTCATCAGACTCATTGATGGAAATTCTTTTATAAACAATACAAACAGTGGTAAATGGTGACTAACTGTCCAAAAATGCAAGGTTATTATTATATACCTTTAAGACCATAATGAATGAAATTTTACTGCCAGTGTGCTGGAAGTACTGTATCTGAATCATTGAGAAAGAACTACAGCCTCACAATGGAGACATTACAAACTATACATGCAACCTAAACATTTATCTTAAAAAGGAAAACTAATCACACAGTGCGACACAAGTAACTACAGAAGTGCTATGGATTAGCGTTTACATAATTCAGACCTACCTACAATATAGTAGACTTTTTAGGAAAATTCCCCCAAAAGAAAAAACATACTACTATAAACTACTAGGAAGTTAAAACTATACCACCGCTTACTACTCTCTTATAAAAACAAGATATTTGAATAAAGACCTTCCACTGAAGTGCAACATTTGTGTAGTTTGACTCGTTCAGTTCTACTCACCCTGTCCTGTCAGAGTCTCATAAGCAGGCAGAGGCAGAGAGCCAAAGTTCTCTGGGTGTTTGCACTTCTCTTCCCTCTTCAGTCCTTTTGTCCTTTTTAGCACCTCATCATGTGGTTACACGTGGCAGATCATTTGGTCCCTGGTCCCCACCTTCATGTAAAGAAGGGAGATGTTTTTTAGAAATGCATTTTTTCTCTGTGGATGAAAAATATGTTGCACAAGCATCGGAAAGCTAGTGTTGCCTAACTCCAGAAGACTGTGGCTCGGGAGGTGAAGAGGGTCATCCAGTAAACAGAAGGTTGATGGTTTAATCCTTGGCTCTTTCAGACTGATAGAAAAGCACTGTATAAAGCAGTCTTGTATGATTTTATGGGTGAATGAGACTTGTGCGGTAAAGCTTTTTAAGTGGTCCATAAGACTGGAAAAGTGTTAAATAAATAGTCTATTCACCATTTACAATAATGCAACACGGGGACTCTCTCCATTTAAAAAGACTGATGTTGCAAATGCATTTACTTTTTTGTACTTTATATAATATGGCCCCGACTTTTTCATATGTAGTTACCAGAAAAATAATGGTAAAAGTATCTCTATTCAGGCCAATACAACATGATATCAGTAGTTAGTTTTATCTCACAGGTTTTAATATTCAATATCTGAAGTGTCCAACAAAATAGGGTTGAACCGAACGGTGAAAATACTGAAAGCTTTAAACCTTAAACTATTGAAACATTCAACAGCAACTTCTATATTTGTAAGGCCCATGTTCTTGTTACTCTGGAAAATCTACACAAAATCTCAGGCAGTTTTCTAAAGAAAAACAACTTAAAAGTTCTTCGAAAGGAAACAGTTCATAGCAAAGTCTTAGGATTGTCAAGAGTATCAAGGACACTGTTTCTGGGAAGAAATGTTGCTTTAGAATTTTTTTTATGTCAACTGTCGATGCAGTGACAGTCACAAAGGGGAATTTACTTAGCAGTAGGATGGAGGCACAAAGCTAGAAACAAAAATGGTCTTTATGCCTAGAAAACATAGAGATGTAGGTCTGTATTGTAGGTATTGTTACTGCGAGGCAGATGTTGAGTAGATGATGAATGAGTCAGTGGCACAGGAGAACCTGGATCTTTACCAGGCCCCCAGTCGAGTGTGTTAAAGATGAATAGATGGCAGCTTCTCTGCTACTCGTGTTCTCCTGGCATTGAGGGAGGAGATCATTAAAGTAAAAGCAGAAGTTATATTTGATGAATGCAGAGACGACTATAACTTCAGTGTTAAAGAACAAAGTTTCAGTAGTCTATGGATGTTCATTCTTTCTCCCTCTTTGTATCGCTTCTCTTTATCTCTCTTCCCTATATCAGCACTATTGCTTTGATCAGGCTCTTCATATAACGAGGCCCCAGGGTCTACTGTGCAAAAAAGTACAAACTAAAGTGTGTGTCTGTGCAAGTGTCCATGCACATGCACATGCTTGAAGTATGTGTTGCATATCTTCTTGCTTCTGTCAGACACTTGCCAAATTTTCCCTCAGGGATTAAAAAAGAGCTTTTTTTCCTCAAATGCTCCTCTAACACTTTTAATAGAGGAGTATATCGCAGACTATTAGTGATGCTGCTTGGTTGATTTTTTTTTTCTTTCATTTCAGTCCTTATGCTTGCATAATTGGCATGGAAGCAGGAAACTCTAAATTGCTACTGAAGGTGGTGATAAATTGAATAAGATTATGTTTGCTTAGTACATCAACTAGAAAAGTAGCCATTATTTCAGGCTGCATCCAAACTAAGTTTTTGTTTTAAAATGCATCAATTACTCTACGGCTATGCCTGCCATCCACACTACTCTGGAGTTTTAGAGCTGCCACAACAGAGAACTTTGAAAACACTGCAGTCTCCATTTTGTTTGGAAACAAAGATGTTTGGAAATGATGACATAGACACAACCGCTTGCTGATCTGATCTTTTCATTCAGGACGTAGCCTTCGCCGATTGTCAGACTCCTACAATATGACACCCTTCGAGAAGAAAACAAACATTAGCCTCGGCTACTAGTTTAGAACACAACATGGATAATCAATTACAAGCAATGTCTTTGCTAACAGCTGATATAATGATACAATTGCTGTGTAGGATGGAGGCTATTATTTGAGCAGTTCCTGTGTACACTGGCACATGCATGCTGTGGTCAGGTGATATGCATCTTCAGAGGTGTCAGTATAGACGGGGATTAAAACTAGTACAGAGCAAAAACGCTCATGGACAGAGATAGTCTTACTTATAAAACTTTAAAATAAATACAGTCGTATGGATTTACCCTCAGGGCACAATTGATAGCCAGTACTAGGGGGATTTTTTTCAAACTTGGGTGCCATATTTTTATTTGTTCACTGCAAAATAAGGACCCATATCAGGGGAAACATTTAAAGTTGGGTAAAGATGAATAGACAAACTATTTTTATGGCTAAAAAGGAGATGCACAGAAAAAAGGAAGGAACTTCAGCAATTAGAGCTCATACTAAATCTGGTATTTTGTCAGATTTTGTGTTCTTCTCTGATAAGATCATCTATCCCATCCTCTGTGTGTGCCCCCCCTCTCAGACAGGATGTTTTGAGGAAGACGGCAGGGAGATGGTCTGATACAGAAAGTACGATAAAGATCAACCAATTCCTTTGCATCATTTGTGTGTGTGTGTGCGTGTGTTAAAATAAAAAAATGAAAACATTAAATTTGTTTTAATAAAATGAGGTATGAACTTATGAGGCACTCTTTCTGCTTTGGGTTAACTTTGACATTTTTTTTAAATAAAAACCGGCTGTTGTGAAAATGAAAATATTTTTTTTCATAATACACTTTGGCATCAGTCATTGAAACGATTATTCATTCAGTCTTACCTATCATTTTAATTGAAAAATTGTGTCAAATAGTGTTTCTCTTTTCTCAATCATAACAGCTTTTGATCTGATTAACTGATTTTCAAAATATTTGTGGATTGATTCACTTTCAATAATTTAATTGATTAATGAACTCAGCTTGAGATTTGTAGAAAGACAATGTTATATTTATAGAGGCTGTATACAGACATGACATAAAGACAACTAGACAGAAGTGAGGTTTTTGCAGTGAGGGTGGGAGGAGGGAGGCAAGCCACAAAGAGCCAGGTCTGAATTAAAGGAAGGGGGAGGGTTTTTAAGGTCCCAGCCAAAGTGTCTCCTGCAGGAGGTGGTGTGTCGCACAGAGGGATTCCCACTCCTCTGTAGTCTGGCAGCCGGTATCTGGTTACTCCTGTCGGTCTGCCATGATTGCCCTCCACTCACATTCCACAGCCCCCATTTACTCCAATCCACACAGGAATCTGACAAACTCAGCATTACAGACAGAACACACACACACACAGTAACTCAGGGACCAAACAACCCCAACGGATCTCAAGCCAAACATTGAACCAACTTTTGACTGAAAACATCCGTCTGAGATTACCACATTGGTTGCAACCATTTCTTCAAATTACCCCTTCCTTTCCTCTGTCCTCTCCCTAACACAAACTCTACATCAATCGGGGGAAAAAAGCAACACAACTTTAGACAACTTCGACTCCAGCAGAGGTTTGTGTTGCCGCTGTAGTGTTAACCAAGTTGTAAAATGCCAGAAATGCTGTAATCCACATGGAGGCGTTTGTCATCTCACACCAAACTGTGAGAGGAGCAGTAGCGATGTGGTGGTTAAGCCCTCAACCTCGGTTACCCTCCTGCTGGAAGGAATGCCGTTACAGACGGCTGACTAGACGCCCGGCTGCTTATATGATACGGCCACATGTAGCTCAGTTCATCTGTGATACTGGAGCAGGACGATATGTACTTTCAATAACTGTCTTCTTCATGACAGCCATGTTTGCACATATATTTGCTCATGTATATGAATAGTAGTGGAGGAGCTCTTGGCGCATGATACCATAATGCCTTCCTTTGCAAAATGAATTTCCCATTGCTTTATTAAAGTCAGCTCTCTGTCGGCAACTGACATCGATGTTGTTCTTCTGTGGGGTTTTTTAGGGGCCTCTGGGATGAAAACCCAATAGGACAGACGACAGCGCAATTCATAATCAAAAGGCAGGTGAGAGAATGGCTCTTCTTGGGTAACATAATTGAAAAAGAAAAGGGAGAGGATATTGTAGTCATCTCTAGCTTGTCTGATGCTGATATTGCACCTATCAATCATATTTCATAGAGTATGTTCTGTGTGTTCACTGACATTTCTCTTGATTGATCAGAGTAATAATACGCACATGCTGTGTGTATAAATACATAGAGAGGGAAGAGTGGGCTGCGTGTTATGATTTAACATGATGTGATGTGTGCGTGGGGGAGTGGGGGTATAATATATAAATAAGGCCATCTGTAAGAGAACATAGACATCGACATCATCATCTTTTCATCAATATTCAGCTTTGTAGAAAGATTTGAGCCTGTAAAACCTACAGAGGAAAAATATTTCATACTCAAGAACCCTTTTTTGTGGAGTATCACAAAAGACTGTTGAAACTAATATTTTCATTTTTTTCTCTCTTTCATCTATAAAAGAAAATGATTTTAGAAAAAAAAAACCTAGACTGATTGAATAAAGTTCAAACTATGAATTTGGGTGGTGCTAAAACACATACGATTTTAGCACCTCTACAGCTCAAAAGCTGTTTTCAGACATGCACTGAAGTCTGGACATTTTCTGTGGGGGCTGTACGTGAGAACACAACTGTTCAACTTAGTTGCTTGTTTTCCTGCCAGCCTCCTGATAAAATGTCCTGAAAATGTCTAAGTGAGCCTATGTGAGAATACAGGAAAATGTTGATGACGTTTCAAAACGTCTTAGAGATGCAACATCCATGTTTTTATGCTCTACACAAAAACCTGTGGTCTCATTAGCAGATTTCATGGAGATGAATAAGTACTGGCATCTAAACTAACAAACTCTGATTACAGTGTGCACAGAAAAGCAGTCCTTTGTGTGACAGTGCCCAGCAACAGATCAATAATGACTTGAAATCCAACACAGAAAGTGCTTCACTGAAAACATTTTTCTAAATGAAAATCAACGACGTGCCACTTGGACCTCATTTTGAGTTACAGTTGTATATCAAAATATTTTAATGGAGCACAATGACTGTGAAATAAGAGGGTGTGTTATTTGCAGCAGAGCTCAATGACAAACTAACATACCTATTTTGTGCATGTGTGAAAATAGAGTACATTTCAGCCGTTATATATTGCGCTTGTGTGTGATATTTTCTGTGGTTTGCTGAGGTCAGAGAAAACATGACTGCAGGCCATGCTGCAGCTAAATAAGCATAAGAATGCCAGAAGTGACTGTCTCCTTCTTTTAACCCCAAACGACACATCCCGGGCTGTAAACATGGCTAGACTGCCCCCGCCCCGCCACCTCCATAACCTCCCATCCTGGGCTCCAGCCCCCCTCCTGCTGGGAGCAGGCACATAGACAGACTTACACCCCCCCAGGGGAGGAGGAAGAGGGGGATGGGGGGGCGGCTTTGTGTCTACCGGCATTGGACTTTGTTGCTGCGTCCCCACATGCATGCAGGCACGTGTGCAGGAATACATGGACATACATGTGCCAACCAACACATAACATAGAATGTATATGACACGGCGTGTAAATGCAAAGACAAAGCATGCCACCTCCTCTGATCTATATATGCACACCGCACATATCGGATGTCTCGAACAATAATGCTGTTAAAGATGAATCACATTCCAGACAAATCCACAACACGTTATTTAGGTAAACAGTCAAGAGGATGTTTACATCAGATCCGATGTGAGATGAGATTCTAATTAGAAAAAGACAATATTCCTGAGGTGAAAAGGTCAGGAAACATTCACACACAAAGAAAAGGCCACAAAACCCCCACTAACCTCACACACACAGGCTTGTAAGGCCCCACCTACACACCACAACCCTCCCAACCCCCCAGGTCTTTATACACACCCGCACACACACATGAAACGCTGTATACGTAAACACACATACATAGGAAGTGGGTGACCTCCTATAGGCTGCATGGGTGTTTTCATTACAGAGAAACCACATGCTGGTTTGATTCTTAGAAACGGCTGTCCGACATGCAGGCTGACAGCATTGCATTATATTGTGGAATAAAGCCCAGTGAATTCAGTAACGATGGAAGAAAAAGTATTTATTTCTTTAAACATGACTTAGTCAGAATATTTTACACTAAAGGAAATGTTTGGACATATTCAGGTCTATTTTTAAAACAGAAGTCAAAAGTCACTGTGGTCATTCTTTTTCAACATGGAGTGATCCCTTTCAACAACTACTGGAATATAAGAGATCGACCTAATATCCAGTCCTTTTATGTACCATGATACATTTAAATTTAGTTTAACCCAATATGAGGCTTTATGTCTTGAGTTAGCGTAGAATCAAGGTGGTATCTTACAAAATTGCAGTCTTTTCAACACTGCATTTCATATTTAAAACATTGTATAGACTGTCAATCAAGCATTGTGTTCCAGTATTTCTTAATATGGTATCGTAAAAAAATATTTGCCCAAGGTGTGCCCTACTTGTCACCCAATGTTAGCTTGGCTCCAGCACCCTCACAGCCCTTAAAGGTAAGTGATACATTTAATGGATGCATAGATCTAGTAAACATATCCTTGTACTTGTACACACACACACACACACACACACACACGTTTGCAGTCCATGTCTCTCTGTTTGATTTGATAGACAAATTACTCCATATATGAAAAATTTGTCAGATCAATTAATACAATTTTATTTTTTATCTGTATCCTTTTCTAGAATGTTATCAATTTCTTTTAAACATTTATCTCTTTTTACCTGCCTTTGGATTTAACAATAGTGTTTCCTCATTTCCTGTTGATATTGTTTTGCTCTGTTTGAAGATGAGGGTGAGTGCTTGGGTGGGGGGTATTGTTTTTAATATTTGATAAGACCAACAATCGTTTATGCTTTTTAAAATGTAAAACTGCCTCTGATTAATTGTCGGTCATCAACTAATCCATTGATTTCATTGATTAATCATTGCACCTCTGTAGAGAGTATGTCTTTTAAGGATAAACAAACAGGGGGACCCATTGATTTGACTCTTATTTTTAAATCCAGGCCACATAAACTAGTGTTGTAGATACTTGACATACATGCAACACCAACCAGAAGACAGGTGAGGGAACAGCTAGTCCTCAGCAGCACAGACAGTAGTGTCATTGTTCAAGTAAACCTGGAACTATAGGTCTACGTTTACCCAGGGCAGCCTCCATGTTATCCACAAACCACAGCAGCACACGTAGTCATCAGTAAAGACAAAGACAGAGTTTGACTCACATTTTGCTGACGCTGAAATCCACTGGTAATAATCCAGGTGATAGACACGTCCCGTTGCACTCGACCGTTTCTTCCATTTTACAAAACCATAGCACCGGACATAACTAACCACCCTGGAGAACTAGTTAATCTAGTTGTCTGTAGTGAATGGGTTGTTAAAGTATAATTCGTTTGTCTTCACAGTTTCACAGTGTGTGTGTGTGTGCGTGCGTCTGTCTGTTTGTTTGTTAGCCGCCATTTTTAATCAAACAATGCAAACACCTGGATCTACCTGTGCACACCTGTGTCACCTGGACTGTAAAAGTGTTATACCACGTTCAACCACACGCGCTGACTACTATGTACCAGCCGTTAGAAACAAGAGGGGCGCTGTTTCACCAACTTGAAGAAACCCAAATAAAAGAACGTACACTACAGAATCTAATGGAGAAAGAAGAAGAGGGAAGTTTTTGTAAAGGTAAATGTTAAGTAAAATGAGCAATACTCTGAAAATATTGCAAATCTTAGGTAAGTGAAGGTACAATGTGGAGGTATAAAGAGTACACTATACTACAGTAGTTGATTAAATATTCATTTCCACCACAAATTATGAGTATTGTTATATTTTAAATTAAAATCAAATAGATGGATGGTTTTGATAATGAGGGACCCACAGTTCCTGAGAAAACACTCTAAGATTGCCATGGTTTTAGAAATACTGCACACACCTGAATGGGTAATTGTTTCCTCAATACTTCAATTTTTCATATTTTACTGATATTATATGTAAATTGTATGTAAAATTTGTGTATGTATGTGAAACTGTGTTTTATGGCATTCTTCCTACTGCTATAGATATAGAGCTTTTATTCATTTGTCATTCTTACAGCATCAATAGACAAATTGAGACTAATAATATTGGAACCAGCCTGTCAAGTGTTTTTCTCTTAGATGCTGCTCTCACACAAACAGCTTACAAGTGTAATATTCTGCACATCTCCATGCCGACTCCTGATACTGCTGAAATCTGTATTAGTTTTAATGGAATTATTGCTGTGCAGAATCAGGGTCACCCTGTCTGAGGGAAGTCATGGATATGAGGCCATTCCTCTCTCTCACACTCTCTCTCACACACACACACACACACACACACACACATAGCTCAGAGCCGCTTTAGTTGTATTAGCAGGGTTAGGGATTACTGATGGGGCGGGCCCAGCGATGGCCACGAGTTTAAAGTGCATGATGTCAAGGAACAGGGTCCCACCATGTGGTCCTGCCAGCATGGTGGGATATGTTCAGAGCTTTATATTCCTTGTTGAGGAAGCTTTCTTTCTGGAGTCTGTGGAGTCTGGAGAGAAGGGTTATTAACACGTGTGAACACAGACGAAGATTTAAACGGTCAAATAACACTAATACCGGCTTCAGTATGTATCAATGATAAATATTTTTAGTCTGAATTATAATGTGTCAAACAATAATTTTTTTCAGTGATGTTATAGCAACTATAGAAAAATAATGAAATAAATTTGCATTGTGTTTGAAGATATCTGTTTCAGGGACATGAATATTCTTGCTTTTTCTGAAGGATTTCTTTACTCAGGTATTTTGTAATAATTGATTTGAAAGAGGCACGCAGGCACACAAACACACACACGCACACGCACAGGCATACGCACACGCACACGCACAGGCACAGGCACAGGCACATGCTCCATTTAAATCCTGATTGTACCACTAAGTATGTTGTTTCTTCACCTAAATTCTGAGTTTTTCTTTTTTCTACAATGTTGTCGAACAAAGCAGTGGCTGGGGGGATGGATGGTGCGGAAAGTGGGTCTTGTGAATGTAGGTCTTTGAGACAGTGTGTGTGGGTAAAGCAGGCTTACAGTAGTAATCCTCTTCACAGACACCCATCTGACTAGCAATAGGATGAAGCCCAGACAGACATAAACTCATGCACGCACACACTGTTCGGGTTTGATAGAAGGAAATCTGTTTTGTCTTGTTTTTAGAAATACAATGGGTCATAAATAGGCCTTTGTCTCTAATCACATTCTTGCTCCAGTCCCTCTGAAATCTAAGATGTCTAAGAGAAGTTTGGAATCTTCCAGTACGTGTTTTCCCTCAGGTGTGGCACCAAAATTCTCAATGTGATTGTTTGATACATGTTACACGCTTCTTCCTCTGGAATCTAATTCAAACGAGACGGCTCCTGAGGAAGCTGGGTCGTCTGTTGACTTTATTGGTTCCTGAAACTTCTCATTACCGCTTCCTGGCTCTGATGTCATCAGTCGATTAATGACACAGGAGGAAGAGGGACATTCATCCCGAAATAACTCAGGAAAAACAGCCCTATTTAAAAAAAATGTCAATGAGCCTGTGAGAGCGGGGACAGTGAGCTACGGCGCTGTCAAACTATGACTCACGTCTCGTGAGGGAAGCGTTTTGGCGATCTGCGACACAACATCCTTCAGCGAGACAAAGTGGAGCCAATGTTCACTTTGGTCATAATGAAACCTACATTAAAAGGGTTCTAGAGAATTGTCATGTGGGTCCATTCGAATAATCCAATTCGGCTGATGCACAAAATAAACCATAAAGAAACTGAATGAAACCACCACAAACCCAAAAGTAAACATGTTATTTGTACATTTTTTTTATTTTGGCATTTCTTTGTTTTGCATTTATATTAAGCAAAGTGCATCTTATTTTCTTTTTCATCAACACATTGCACAATACATAAATAATGATGCATATAAAACGTCTTCATATTTACAATTAATAATATATTTATATATAACATAAAATACATTTTTCGCTTCTTATTTTCATTTAATTAAATCTTTGTTGTTTATTAAACAAAGTCCGTCAGAATCGTATACTTTCGTCTTCTTTTAAAACCTTTTTTCTCTCTTTGAACCTCTGGAACAAAAAAAAGGGAAAGAAGGTGTAGTCTGTTTGTGAAGGGGGCAGAAGAGGTGAGGAAGGCTGCTGCTATCGGGTGTTGAAGATGACTTCCAACCAGCACGGGCAGCTGCTGATGAACTGTCTGGTGTAACACTGTCCCCAGCCCTTCACAAAGCTTATCTGCACCGTGAAGCCTGTGCGAGGCTGCTGCGTGAACTCGTGGTCGTTGGGCCGCTGCAAGCTGCCGGCCTTGTCATAGTCAAAAGCTTTGATGGAGAACCCGGGGAACACCTTGTGCACCAGTAGCGTGCGCGAGTCCGGGTTGTCCAGTGTGGCCGACTTAATGAAGATGGGGTAGCAGCTGCGGTTGTAGACCCACACCCCGTCCGGCTCACGCGTCAGCTGGATGCCATAGCCGATCTTGGCCCTCACCATCTGCACCAGCTGGGACTTGTTATCGGAGCAGAGCTGACCCAGACAGAAGCCGTTCCCCTGAGGTAGATCATAGAAGATGTCCAGGGAGGGCTCCTGGACCGAGTAGAGGCGCCCGACACGTGTCTTCTCCTCCCAGTATGCCACCACGCACCAATGGGCCCGCTCGCCAGACTCCTGCATTGCCAGGGAATCTGAGGGAGGAAACAGAGGAAGGAGATGGTTAGAAATGTAAAAAGAACATCAACATGGCGGCACTGAAACATGAAAACACAGATCAATAGGCAAAGAAGGGGAGAGCGGGGAGAGGGGAAAAAGATGAGTGCATGAGACTGGGATGAGCAATGATGAGAAATATCTTTCTAAAGATTTGTATTTCTTCACAACCTCTTCCTTATCCCTGTTTTGGGAAATGGAGAATGTGCTTTACTCGAGAGCCAAAGCTCAACTGTCATCCTCAATTTCTGCCATACAGGAAAAACCATGTTGGAATTCCTGGACTTCAGACAGGAGAAGCAACTCAGAGACATTGGCAGGCAAGTGTCCACACGCAGTACAATATTTGTCTAGGCATTAAACGCTTATCGTCTGTCTGGCTCGCTATATTTTTGTAGCGGCGTGGCCAACAATGTGCTGACGTCAACCAGCCCGTCCCGATGGTCTCCCTACGGCAACATGCTTCACCCTGCTGGAGGAAATTAGAAACGATCTGTCTGAATTTGCGGGGAAAGATGAAGCCGCGGTAACTGAGCAACGGGAAAGAGACGAGGGGCTTTCACACGAGCGAATAAACTATTCCCCCACCCCCATCTACGGCGAAAGCACATGGCGTTTTGCCGCCGAGAGAGGCAGGCCGCTAACTCTCAAGCCCTGGTGTCTGAATTGTTGACAAGCCAGGCCTCTCCAGTCTAAAGTTTCCCCCTGAGCGTAAAAGAAGTGTAGCATTGGCCATGCTCCAGTTTCCAACCCCCACCACCACCAGCGCCAACACCTCCTCCCTCCCTGTCTCCCTTTTCGTGTGCCTCCTGCGCTGTCCCTCTTCCCCCTTCATATCTCTATTCCGCAGAAATCTGGCTCCCAGCTACTCCCAGCTAGAAAAGTGGGAGCCAGTCAGGCGCAAGGGAAATAGAGGGAGACGGAGACAGAGAGAAGGAAAAGAAAAAGAGGGGGCGGGGTGAGGGAAGAGAAGGAATGCTTTTTCACATATTTTGACTGTTACTTTTGCAACTTTGCTTCCTCTCCCTACTTCACCTAATCACCTACAGCTTCTATCAACTGCTCCGCAATCAATTTGTACTTCCTGTCTCTCTCTCTCTCTCTCTCTCTCTCTCTCTCTCTCTCACACACACACACACACACACACACACTCAAATCCAGCATGGATGAAAGACACATTCAAGGGTTAAGAAAGCTCAAAGAGAGGAAATATATGTGTGGGGGGGAAAAAACTGAACAGAGCCCCTCTCAGAGCAGTTTCAGTCGCCCCGATCCTTCCCATCCGACCCCAACCTACCACCGCACGCCCCCACCCTTACTCCTCGTTTCATCCTGCGGTGGCTGTGAACGCAACTGGCAATTTGGAAGGTCCCGTCTGAGACAAACTGCAACATTAATGCGGCAGGATCTCTGCCGGCCCGAACGGACTCGCCGTGGCCTGTCATTAGCCCCTTCATTAGACGCAAGGGAGGGAAAAAGAGGGAAGAAAAAGACAACGCTGGGAGAAGAGACAGAAACAGAGAGGAGGGAGAGAGGGGGGTGAAAAACTGAAAGCATGCCTTCTGTAAAACAAGAGGGGCTGTGTTCTTTGAAGTTGGTCAGAGCCAAGCCTCGGGGAGTTTATCGTAAATCCGTCCCTATGGGGTGCTTGGGGGAAACTAAGTACCCGGTTATCTACCTTAGACTA